AGGGGTGCACTCCAGGTGTTGTGGACTACACCTCCTCTGAGCTTTGGTAGCATTATGGTTGTCAGATCATTATGGGAGATGTAGTCCAACACATATGGAATGCTAAAGGTTGTGTACCATTTTTGAGGCACACTTTCATCTAAATCGCACCCAACCCCCCTCTCAGCCGACAGACCTTTGGCATAATCCTCAAGAATTAGAAAACTCCTCCTGTATCGCTTAAGTTTTAAAATATTACCAACAAGGAAACTCTTAAATATATTAATTTGCACTAATTTAAAACTGTGAAAAACACGTTGAATCCGGCTATATAATGTCACGTCCTGCTCCATTCTGCAGATATTTCTGGCCTTGGCTTCTGGTATCCAGTACTCTTTTTACAATTCTTGTTTAATTTTTCTTGTTTTTTCTGGTTTTCTATTCCATGTCTGGTTTTCTTTATGCTTGTTTTTTCTGGGTTCATTCCTTTATTCCGTTCCTGGAATTCCCAGTCTTCTGGATTCATTTAAATCAGGGGTCCTCAAGGACCCCCTACCAGTCCAGGATTTAGGGATATTCTGGGTGTGTCTAAGGTGTTTTATTTTTTATTTTTCTAAACACCTTAGACAGACCCAGGTAATCCCTAAATCCTGGACTGGTAGGGGGTCCTTGAGGACTGGGTTGAGAACCCCTGATTTAAATGTTTGTTTTTTGTTGCCACACCCGTTCCTTTGCCATTTATCCTTTTTGTTTCAGTGTGTTCCTGCTAGCAGTGGTTTCATTCCTCTGCTCCTTTCCTTGCAGGTAAGTACTGTGTGTGTTTTATTGTTGTACTTTTAGTAATGCATATCTAGGCAGTTAGGACCCACCGTAATTGGAGTACTTTGGTGCAGTGGTGGGCTGCATACATATTGGCCATTTATGTATGTCTAAATCTACAATGTTTATTACATATAGTACTTATTTATCCTCTTGTTTTGCCTTGTATCTCTTGCCTTGTTTTATTTTATCTCGTATTTCTAGTTCATGTACAGTCCTGTCCTGTTCTACCTTGTCCATGTCTTGTTCTTGTTTCCCTCATGTCTTGTGTACATGTTCTGCTTTCTGTCATTCTGGGTTCTTCTAGTCTTGTCTTGTTATCTTGTTTGGTGCCTATTCTAGTCATGCCTTGTTTCTAGTACTGGATACATATCTGCATATTATCAAGCTCCTGGAATCTGCAGAAGCTGCATCAGGGCCCTGGTATGTGGCTGCATAAATCTTGGTGCTCAACACCAGGGGGCATGTGGTTACCCTGCACCAGACCCTGATTGTTCATTTCCACACTATACCTCCTACCATTTTCAGGCATACAGGGGTCCCGGTCTCCAGACCGCCAGAGTGACATATAAAATATAAAGATAAAGCTGGGAAATGAGCAAAATGGTGAGATCCTGTCCTATTGTGTTTTACACCCCACCTCCTATAACTGTAAGCTCGTTTGAGCAGGGTCCTCGTCAACCTATCGTTCCTGTAAGTTTTCTTGTAATTGTCCTATTTATAGTTAAGTCCCCCCTCTCAAAAGATCATAAAGCGCTATGGAATCTGTTGGCAGTATATAAATGGTGATGATAATAATAATAAAGAGAATAGAAGGTGTCCAGCAGGGGTAACAGAGGCTTGAAGGCTGTGTGACGACTTGAATTCAGGAAAACATCAGTAGAGTCTCAGGATCAGTTTATCAATTTGTTTGTTGGTTTAATGGGTTTGGAATGGACAAGGAGTGGAGATTAGGATGAGAATGTAAAAATGCAGAAGTTGTAGAGTGTAATTTTATGTAAGTAAAGATTGCCAAGGATGTAAGTTGGTGAATGGGGTGATGACTCATGTCAAATACACCAAAAGAAGTCTAAAAGCAAACCTGAGGAAGTGAGTATGACAGTAAGAAAGGAGGTAACTTTAAAACAATCAGATGGAACGTAATAGTGGCTGGGTTCCATGCAGGCGTCCACTAGGAGAAGATAACAGATCTAATCACACCTTCAAATCCAATGGGACAAGTCATGTACGAGATGCAGATCTACATACAGAAGGAGTAATAGTATCTATGTATCCAGGAGAAAATTAAACTGAGGTTAAAAAAACAAAACAGTTCACTTATTGTAGGCATGGTCTTATGACGAGTGGATAGTGGAGGGCTAGGGTTTAAGATACAGATTAATGGAAGTAGTAGTGATTGTAAATGACATTATAATAAAAGTGAGTGTTATTTAAGTACAAGTTTGTTAGTTTGTGTGAGCACAAATGGTTCTTTCATCTGAGGAAACAAAATGCAGTTCTGCTCCTACAAGACATACTTAAAGGGTGTCTAAAGCACTTTATCTTGCTGAAGAGCTTTATGTATGAAGTGTGACCTCTTTTTTTTTTTCATTTTACAAGAAGTGCAGATTTCAACAGTAATTGCCACTTTTATAAGTTAGCCGTGCAACACCCTCCTGGCTGTCAATCAGACATTCGGTCATGTTATTTCCTAATTTCCTTAGCTCAGAGAAGCTGAACTCAAAAGGCAGCAATTGTTCAGAGCTCCTGCCTTGCAAAGACCTCTCATTGAGCTGCATTGGGAAGTCTGTGATTGGACAGCCACAGAAAGTATGGACTTTGGAAGAAGGAGAAGGCTTGCAAAGGCTACAGACACGAGATCTGCTACATTTGCTGGTTGTTTTTAGATGTAACCCCAATGAAAGTAAGTACATAATTAGAATTGAGCAAACCCGGACTGTAAAGTTCGGGTTCGTACCGAACATTAGGTTTTTTGGACCCTGGACCCGAACACTGACATATCACTGTATGTTCGGGTTGGAGTTTGGTGTTCGGCGATTTAATGGCGCGTTTTGAAAGGCTGCAGGGCAGCCAATCAACAAGTGTTTGACTTGTGTGCCCTTAGAAGCCATCACAGCCATGCCTACTAATGGCATGGCTGTGATTGGCCAGTGCAACATGTGACCCAGCCTCTAAATATAAGATGGCGTCGCGTAGTGCTGCACGCCCATGTGGTCTTATTAGTGTAGGGAGAGGATGCTGCTGCTGATAGGGACAGCTTTGGAAATAATTCTGCAAACTAGTACATTAGTGGGGTGGGGTGCACTTCATAACTGAGAGTCAAATACCGCGGTTACATCGGGGTTTTAAAAAGTAATTTTTTTTTTGGTGCTAAATAGTACATTAGTGGGGTAGTACATTAGTGGGGTGCACTTCATATCTGACAGTCAAATAGAATCATCAAATACTGCTGTCACATTGCAGTTTTAAAACTTAAAATTTTTCGGTTGCTAAAAAGTACATTAGTGGGGTGCCCTTTTTGTATCTGAGAGTCAAATAGAAGCATCGATTATTGCTGTCACATTGCAGCTTTAAAACTTAAAATTATTTGGGTGCTAAACTGCTAAATAGTATTTTAGTGGGGTGCACTTCATATGAGAGTTAAATAGAAGCGTCTAATAGTGTGCTTACAGCGCAGTAGTAAAAATTCTAATTTTCTGGTTGCTAATCTGCTAAATAGTACATTTTGGGGCCTGCTCTTCATATCTGAGAGTCAAATAGAAGTGTCTAATACTGCGGTTACAGCGCAATTGTAAACATTCTAATTGTTTTGGTGCTAATCTGCTAAATAGTACATTTTGGGGCCTGTTCTTCATATCTGAGAGTCAAATAGAAGCGTCTAACACTGCGGTTACAGCGCAATTGTAAACATTCTAATTATTTTGGTGCTAAACTGCTACTTACATTGGAGTTTTAAAAGTCAATTTTTTTTAAAGGGACACTATAGTCACCTGAACAACTTTAGCTTAATGAAGCAGTTTTGGTGTATATAACATGCCTCAATCCTCTGCCATTTAAGAGTTAAATCCCTTTGTTTATGAACCCTAGTCACACCTAAAAAAAAATAGTTGGTGCTAAATAGTATATTTGGGGTGTTCACTTCATATGTGAGAGTCAAATTGAAGCGTAACTTTGATTCAAATTTACTACATCGGTCACTTGTAATATTGTTTCACACCTACAACACTTGTTACACAGATCTAAGTGATAGAAAACAGATTGATATTTTCTATACTAGAAACTACCAGATAACAAGCTGCTATATTTAAACCAGTTATCAATAGCTAAGAGGTACTTAAACAATATTGTAATTCTGGGGCAATACCCTTACAAGTCAAACTGAGAGGTCAGTTTATAGGTAAAACTATTGCCTGGATACAATTCTAAAACAATTTCCATATGTCCTTTGCAGACTTTTTCATGCTGGAAAAACACAGGTGCCAACTGCTGTGGCTTTCTGCAATGTGTATACCGGCAAGGAGGGCAGGGTTGAGGAGTGGGTGGAATATGATGTGGAGGATGATGAGTTCCTAGACCCCACATGGAATCAAGGTCATGCGAGTGACATGTGCAGTTTGGAGGAAGAGGCGCTGGTCGCACAGAGGCACCAGCACAGCATAAGAGGTAGCAGGGTGCAAAAGCGGAGCGGCCATCCCCTAGCGCTCGTCGGCATGTTTCAGCTCGAGAATTACCAGTTATCCAAGTAATACATGTAGCGATCAAAGGATCCATAATAGAGTTGAGTGAACCCGAACTGCAAAGTTCAGGTTCGTACCAGATATAACTATCCATTCGTAGTTTCACAGTCAGGTGGGCAGTCTGGGCGACGGTCGGACGACCAGGACCCAGTATGCCCGATGTTGAAGTTAGGAGTTACAGTGTGGAATGGATTAGCAGGGTCTGGTGCAGGGTAACCGCATGCCCCCTGGTGTTGAGCACCAGCATTTGGACGGCTACATACCAGGACCCTGATGCAGCTTCAGTAAAAAGAGTACTGGATACCAAAAGCCATCACCAGACTGATCCACAACTTGGAACAGGATGTGACATTCACTGTAGCGGCTGTGCGCGCTTTTGGCATTCTCACCCTGCTGCTGCTCGCCTGTCTGCGCTGCAGCGTAACTTTGGCCTTCCCGCTCACCGCTTCATGAGACTGTGCGAGCATTGGAGTTTCAGCTGCAGGACGCACGGGTCAGTGGCTCTGCACCAGACTTCCCTCCAATTGATCAGAGTTAAAGGATTTCAAGAGGACTCATTACAATTACAGGGCCTCTAAAGAGTCCTGTATTGTTATTTGTCGTCACTACTTTCCCACATCGGGAGTGGGTCATTTGCACGCCTGCTGCCTTCCTTGCATGTGGTAGATGTTACTCAGGGTCCCTGTACGGAATGGAACCCTGATTCCCCGTTACCCGTGGTCACAATGGTAAGCGCAGAAACTGGCATTGAAAGTTAATATGGATGACATCTGCATGCAAAGTTGCAGCCACGGGGATGTGTGATTGGCCCGAGGTTCTCTGGAGTCAACATAATTTGGGGGCTACCCCAATTAAAAAAGGCAAAACATAAAAAACAGTGTTGGCTACATCATCCTCCTCCTTCATTGCCACGTTCACCGCATCCTCAACCTATGGGTCACTTAGTATAAACTATGTACACATTAGCAGAAGCTTGTGAAGGCCTTTTCTCCATGCATCAGGAGTTGAGAATTTCTCCATGCATCAAGACTGCAATAAATGCCCTGCAAGCTGCAAATGTTTCTTTTTTTGTGTGTCCCAATATTTTGGGGGCTACCCCAATTAAAATAAAATAAAAATATATATAAAAAACAGTGTTGGTTACCTCCTCCTCTTCCACCGCTGCTTCCACCTACACCGCCACAGTCACCGTCTACTCAACCTATGGGTCACTTAGTATAAACTATGTACACATTAGCAGAGGCTTGTGAAGGCCTTTTCTGCATGCATCAGGAGTTGAGCTCAGTCTGAACAATGAAAGAGAATACCCTGGACTCCAACCCTCCCTCAAATGGATAATTCTGTTGATCCTCCTGACAGCCATGCTTTAGATTTTGATTTATGTTCTTCCAAAGCTAAAATCAAAGATTCCATCAAGATTTTATGGCTCAGCTGTATGTTTGTATGTTATTTTAAGTGATTTCACTATCCACATTTGTTTGCAGGGCACTTGTCCTACTCTTACCCCCATTTTATTTGCTTACCCCCATTTTATCTAGCTCTTTCCAGGAGTTTTTTAGAGGCATTTTTTATAGCCAAAAGTTCGGGTCCCCGTTGACTTCAATGGGGTTTGGGGTCAAGTTCAGGTCAAGTTCGAGCACAAACCTGGACTTTTTTTCAAAGTTTGGGCGAACCTGCGGGACCCGAACATCCAGGTGTCCGCTCAACTCTATACATAATTAAATTCATTAAATATTTTTTTTTTTTATCGGTGGTATTTCTACAAAATATAGATTTCTATTTATTTTTCACAGTGGAGTGTCCATTTAAGGAGATAGAGGGTGACTTTTCCATTGCAATGTGAAATATATGAAAGGTATAGGTTATATGAGAAAGTACACTAAAAAGTAAAATAAAACAATTTGTATTGAGAAAAAAGGCATATGCACATCAGAAACTCGTAGGTAGACAGAATCAAGGGATGTTTTTTAAAAAGGTGAAGAGGAGACTGTGTGGGCCGAGAGGACAAAGGATTAAGTCTGAGACTGGTTTGATAGTTGAGATGGTAGAACATGACTGATTAATGATGGTGAGAAGACTCTTTCTAGAGATGTTAAAGGATCCTGGGTAATAATTCAGATTGTGTTTATAAAATAGGAAGCTATTTTGGATGTAGTAAAGGGAGAAGGTTGATACGGTGAGAGAATGGCAGAATATTGGAGAATATTATTTAGAGTTTTGTAATGAATAATAACAAAGTATAGCAGACCCCCTTACAAAGGGAATTTAAGGGAATTGGGGAGCCAAGGTTGTGATGGCCAGGTTGTGGCCAGCATCTGACCTCATGTGTCTTTCCTGCAGACTTACAAATAAACTCAATAGGAGACAGACTTACAAATAAACTCAATAGGAGACTCACATACAGCCATACTGATTTATAGGCACACACAAATTCATGTTAATGCACTTATGCACAGAAACACCCGTTTACAGGCAAACAGATACATTCATGTGTGCATATATTTGTGTGTGTGTCTGACATAGTCTGACTACGAATGACTGTGTCCTGATTGTGTATGAATTTCTGTATATCTGTGAAAACTCTCCTTCAGTGTGTCTCTGTGCATTAGTGTATCTGTCTGTGAATAAATGTCTCTGTGTATCTGTCTATGCAAGAGTCTCTGTATAATCTGTGTATAAGTGTATGAATGTGCATGAGTCTACCTGTGTACATGTCTATATGTGACTTCTGTGGATGAGTTTACCTGTAAGTAATTTTCTGTGCGTGAGTGTGTTTGTATATATGTCTGTCCATACATGCATATTTATGTGTGTCTGGAAAATGTGTTTCTGCGTATTAATGTTTGTCTATATGTATCTCTATGTTTCTATTAAGCAGTTAGCAATAGTCTACCATTTATTTCAAATACAGCTTGGGCACAAACATTATGCTGCAAAGAAAAAAAAATCCCCACTTAAATAAAAAATATATTGTAGCATCTTTATTGAGTAGCTGTTTTAAATGTGCTAGATTGTTATTTAAATGGAATTCTAAGGATGTCCATCATGTCAAAAGGCGTTATTTCTTTGCAATAAAACAGGAGAAACCTGTTAACCTGTATTGCCGTAAGCAAGCTTTGTAGAATATACATGAAATTGAATTATAATTATATATATTTTTTTTTTATTTTTTATGTTTCAACATTGTTCTAGAGGTGCATTTGTTGTTTTTTTTTAAAGCTAAACTTTGATATAAATACATTTTTTTTTGTAAATACAGAACATCCTTGACAGACAGTTGTGTGTGTATAATTTTGCAATTTCTATTTCTTGAAACCATTATTTATAGTACATCCTCGCAATTATTTAAACAGATATTAGTATTATAAATTTGAAGTGCTTTCCATTACCTGCTATTTTGGTAATACACTTTTATGTATGTATTTAGTATCTACCCTAGACTTCTGGAGCCAGTTATTGATTGATGCACTGAATAGTCTTTTTGTTGTTGTTTTTATTTATTTAATAAAATATTTAGGATAAATATATATTTTTTTTAAATCAGGAAAATGGAGTAGTGCGTACATGTTGTCATTTCTCTGTGACGATACTGCCACCTAGAGGATGCAATTCGATAGAAAAATAGTTGAAATGGCACAGATGAGACTCAAATCCTGTGAATCATAAAAACCCACAGCATGAAAGATATGCAGCCTTTGGCAGTGAAGCCTTGTGTTGTTTCAAAGCTGTGCATCATGGGAGTTTTTACAGATCACTTTGCATATTTTTTGATTGTTTTATTCTAAGCATACAGAAGTAGGACGGTCTATGAGAAGGTGGATAGATGTGGTTTAGAATAAGTGATATATGTAAGATTTATTTGGAGTTTATATAACTTAATCCACAATGACAGGGAAGTGGCCTAAGAGCCTGGAGCTACATAACATTCTCTTTAAACGTTCCTTTCCTCAGCTAGACAATGTGCCAAAAGGCAAGTAGGGATGGTTCTTCAATACATAGACCTTCCAATTTCTCAAGGCATTCATTTATTTATTGTAAAACAATGTTTAACCCCTTTTACTCTATTATTGACAGGCTCCTCAGTCAGGTTCCGCATCACCCTAAGGCCCTAGGCAGATGTTGGCTTTGTTGCAGTCTTACAGCGCGTTGGGTTGCTCTAGTAAAACATTCTGTTTTTCAAAATGACGTTTCCAAAGCAAATCCAGAAGCCTAAATCCAACATAATCATACAGAAACAGTGACTGTTGCAAATGAATGCCTGTAATATCTGAAGTAAGTGTGCGTCACAATCAAATTAGCGCCACAGAAAACATGGCGATTGCATTAGTTGGTTATATATAAACTGAAAGTGAGAATATCGAAATGTTAGAATGTTGCAGAACACCAGCTTTCTTTTTCCACTGAAACATGTATTCCCTGATGTGGAAACATCACTGCTCAGTTTGCAGTCCTCTCAGGTGGGAAGGATAATAGCTAAGATCTATTGGCACAATCCTTAAAGAACATAAAGCATCGGAGCCTGTCACTTACCCAGCAATATGTTTAGAAATGTCTCTTTACAAGGGTGAAATAGAAAGCACAGAGCCGTAACATATAGCTAAGACAGGATTTAAGAGTACTACAAACCTTGCAATTTGCTACATGTAGAGAGTATATATATACATACATCTGACACCGAGATATGGTGATTCACAAGCTCAAATAGAACCCAGTCTATTGAAGAGTCATTGTTTGAGAATCTTCCTGGGAATTATGGGAAGCCTTTACTTTCTATTTGTAACACAGAGGGAGAGGTTGGTATTTTTTGTTTTCCTTCCACAAATATAGAACACAATTTGTTATATAGTTACATAGTTACATAGCTGAAAAGAGACTTGCGTCCATCAATTTTCACCTTCCTCACATTTGTTTTCTGCTGTTGATACTAAAGAAGGCAAAAAAAAAAATAGTTTAAAGCACTTCCAATTTTGAAACAAACTAGGAAAAAATTTCCTTCTTGACCCCAGAATGGCAGTCAGATTTATCCTTGGATCAAGAAGTTATTACCCTACATTATAAAATTATAACCTTGAATATTCTGTTTTTGCAAGTATGCATCTAGTTACTGGTCGAACATCTGTATGGAGTCTGATAAAACCACTTCTTCAAGCAGAGAATTCCACATCTTTATTGTTCTTACAGTAAAAAAACCTTTTCTTTGCCTTAGACGAAATCTTCTTTCTTCCAGTCTAAGCGCATGACCTTGTGCCCCATGTAAAGTCCGGTTTGTGAATAGATTTCCACTGTTGGGTACTTCTGGGGTGACCACTCTGGTGAGAACCGTGAAACCAAATGAGACTGCATCTCTTTAAGTATATGAACACTTACACCTCAAATAGCATATGGGGTTGAGATTATATAAAAAGGAGATAAAAAAGAGACACAAATAGTATAATATTAGTAGCAACCAAATGTTTAATCCAGATAGTAGGTGTAGCGCAGCTGCAATGTTAAATCCCAATATGGTACAGAAAGTAATCCAAGTAAAGCGCTGAAAATTAAGGCAATATCCCAAATCCCCCAGTAACCGGATGAAACACAGTTCTGGGAGTCAACTGACGATGTTATACACAAGCTCCAGTATTTATGTGGTTCCCCATGCAAGGGGTTTCCTTAATTACTTGACAGGGGTTGTACAGTAGGGGACTACATGGGGAACTGAATATGCAGGACATTTCTCCCACCATGCACTGCTGTACGAGAGGGATACTCCCACGAGAATATCCTGTTAAGTGGATTATCCCTCCGTACAGCAGAACCGGCTTTTCACACAAAAATCAGTAACATATTTTATTTGTGCTATTGTACCGAATGACCGTTCAGGAGATAGCTGGGGTCTGAGCACACACTTTGTGAAAGTACCGCTCAGATCCCAGCATAAATAACCGAACAACACATGAAACACACTTTAATATACATTCATCATAAAAGTCATGAATACACAATTGGGGAAAAAGTACCGAAAGACCGGC